AAGAAGAAGAAAGAAAGAGGTGAGGGAAAGAAGAAGAATGATCGGGAAAACAGAGGGATGAAGGGAGAGGAAGAAGGTGGCGGTGATGGTGAGGGATGAAGGGAGAGGAAGAAGGTGGCGGTGATGGTGAGGGATGAAGGTAGAGGAAGAAGGTGGCGGTGATGGTGAGGATGGGCGTTTGGGCGTTAACGACAAAGTAACGGAGATGGGTGTGTGTAATGAAGGGTGTAACGGAGGAGGGTAAACGTAGCTTTATCCATAAATTTAAAAATTGATTATATATTTTGAGTTTCAAATACATTTATCAACATTTATGTGTTAAATTTTAAATTTGAATTGAATTTTAATTAAATAAAAGGATATCGTTTAATGTTAAAACTTTAAATTTTTTTTGTAAGTTAAAACTTATGTACAATTTTCTCAAAATATAAAATATTAATAGAAATTAATTACTTATGATAAATTTGTATTTTTATTTTTAATCAATATTCTACGTAAAAAAAAATGGTATTATGTACAATATACTCTCAAACAAAACCTAACAGATTTTTCGCCAGTAAATCAACACACAAGCTACTCAATAATGGGCAGCCCCTCATCTTACAAAATTTTAAAGTTTTAGCCTCTTATCTTATATTATGATATTTTTAACCCTTTACCTTACTAAATTTGTAGATTTTAGCTCATTACCTTATATTATAACACTTTTAGTTTCTCACCTATTAAAATTTAAAAAAAAAAAACAGTCCTCACTTTGTAACATTTTGTTAGTTCTGTTAACTAATTGTTAACTCCATTAATTGACTATTAGTTAACTCTTAATTGATAAAAAAAAATTTTTAGCTAATAGAATTAACAAAACTAACTTTATAATATTTTGTTAATTCTGTTAATTGACTATTATTGATTGTTAGTTGACAAAAATCTACTTTCAACTAATAGATTTAACAATCAGTATAAAATGAGAGTTATTTTCTTCGATTTTAATAGGTAAAGGGTTAAAACTTATAAATTTAATAAAATAAATGGTTAAAAATGTTACAATATAAAGCGATGGACTAAAACCTTCAAAATTTAGTAAGATGAAAAGTTAAAAATGAGTTTTTACCCTCAGTATGTCACAGGTTTTTTACAAAAAATAAAAAATAAAAAATAAAATTGGGCCTTAGGAACGGCAAGATTAGAGGCTCAGCCTAACATGTGTGGGCTGATCCGCAAGGCTAAGAAAATTGGGCTGACACAAATGGAAACGACTTGCAGGAGACTATAAAACGTAAACTACCTTGACACTACAAAACCCTAGACGCCTCTCTCATTTCTGCTACGCCCACAGCAAGGAAACGCAGCGGCTGCTGCACTCAGTCAGGAAGTTAAAGACAGAATGGTGTCCGGGTCCGGGATCTGCGCGAAGAGGGTGGTGGTCGACGCTCGGCACCACATGCTCGGGAGGCTGGCGTCCATTATTGCGAAGGAGCTGCTCAACGGGCAGAAAGTGGTGGTTGTGAGGTGCGAGGAGATATGTATGTCGGGTGGGCTAGTGAGGCAGAAGATGAAGTACATGAGGTTCCTCCGTAAGCGCATGAACACCAAGCCGTCTCACGGCCCCATCCACTTCCGCGCTCCTGCAAAGATCTTCTGGCGCACCGTTCGTGGGTATGTCTAGTATATTTTAGTCTTCCTTGTTTCTGGTTGATTGGTGAATGTATTCAGTAAATGGGTATTTGTGGTTGTTCAGTAGCTGATATTATTTTGTCTTTTGTCTCTTGCA